AATACAGAATAAGGATGCATAAGTTTCATAATACCTCGTCATTATGTTTCTTATTCACACATTCATCATATTATCACAAATACAAATTTATGTATATAAAATAAAATAGTTTAAAAGGATTTGGAGAAAGAAAGAGTATTAGAATGCTTAGAATCGGATAAAAATATCTTACAGTATTGAATGCATTGTTATTNAATACAGAATAAGGATGCATAAGTTTCATAATACCTCGTCATTATGTTTCTTATTCACACATTCATCATATTATCACAAATACAAATTTATGTATATAAAATAAAATAGTTTAAAAGGATTTGGAGAAAGAAAGAGTATTAGAATGCTTAGAATCGGATAAAAATATCTTACAGTATTGAATGCATTGTTATTACTGCATTAACTAAGTTTTGTTTTATTAATAGTAAGATCCTTCTGTAATTGTATGAATCTCTACATACATATTACAGAATTAATGGATTTATTGTTATGTTACAATATAAGAAACGTTAACTCATACAACTTAATACTTATGCTTATGTCTATGTTTACGCGGAGATGGAGACGGTGGACTATTAGCTCTGTGTTTCGAAGCACGTGGAGGAGGCGGCGGCGACAAGGATGGTGATCTAGCTCTTCTTTTTCTGTCGTTTCGTTCGGTGCCAGGAGATCTACGAGATGCTCTAGATGAAAAGGAAGGCGAAGGTGTCCGTCGAATACGTGGTGGTGATGGTGTCACTGGCACCCGCTTTTTATACGGTGAACGTGATCTACGTTTCCCCCGTGGTGATCTACTACGAGATCTAACAATAAATTTATATTAGAGATTGTTATAGAGTCGTGAAAACGTTATTATAATTCATTACGTTTTTTAGAAATTAAATTGCCAAATTCACATTATTTGAGAAATGAAAATAGCATTTTAAAAACTTTCTTTAAATAAACTATACTCGAATTTTTAATCAATAAATTTAAAACATATTTTATAGACATATTTTTACCTGTATCTGTTACTTTTGGACGATGGACTTGAAGATCGTCGCCGATCTCTATAATGATTTGGAGATTCTGGAGTTGTACTTCGTTTCTTTTCTCTTCGTCTATCATCGTCCCGTTCTTCACTTTTTGCATCTTTCATTTCTCTTTCGCTCTAAAACAAACAAACATTCTTTGTTAGATAATATAAATATATAAAAAGACCTAAAAAAACAGTGGTACTTATAATTTTCACCTTTCTTATGAGCTTTTTTCTATAATGTTCTACTTGTCCTTGAATTGTCATACCAGATTTCAACGTTCTTCTACCACTTTCTAATTCATCTTGGTATTGCATTATTTTAACCTCGATTTCTCGCAGTCTGGTTCTTCTTTCTTCGTTATAATCTCTTCCACTGTCAATTTGTGTTATTGTAATTAATTAAATTTCATTGTGAAACCCCTAAATCCAAAAACTTTCAAATCATTTCTCATATGTTACCTGGAGTCCATACTAGTGTCCTGAGAATTAGAGTCATCATTCTGACCAAGTTCCTCCCATTTGCTAGTTGTCATAGCTTGTGCTTCTACCTAATGTTGATCAATTACATTAACAGAGTAAGAAGTATAATTATAAAATAGTAATTTTTATAATATTCCTCTACCTGATCGGGGTCTACAGTTTCCCATCGAGACGGTACAAAACCAGCAGGAATCGATGGTTTCTTGTCATCGTCTTTATTTCGAATGTTTAAAGAGTCTTCTTCATCCATAGGAACACCGTCGATATCTTCATCCACTAAAAATATAAAGATGTAAAATATTAATATACTGTAAAATTATAATTATAAACATATAAACCATAATAGAAATCATTACGAATTAATACTTATAAATATTTTGAAAATATTCTTACTAGGAACACCATCGATATCATCATAATTAGAAGTCGTCTGTGGAGTTAGACCATGTTTCATAGCACCCTTAAGGAGAGCAGCACCGTCTAATGGTACCCCATCCAGATCTTCTGCACAATCACCATCCACATCAGACAAAGGTGCTCCGTCAATGTCTTCATCATTTTCTGGTTCAGGTTCATCCATCTAAAAACATACAGTTATTCTTGTTCTCTTTTTTATCGATTTTGATAAGAAACATCATCATATAAAAAGATTTAATTTACCAAAACAAGACCTAGAAAAGTGTTCTGTAATTTAACAAGAAAATCTCGTGAATAAACTGCCCAATCTTCCCATGCTCTAAACATTCTCATTACACGAACTTTAAATCCTTCTGCTTTTAATCTACTATCAAACTGTTTATAGGCTTGATGAACTTCACTAAATATATCCAATAATCGGGTTTCAAACCTATATTATAAGCAAGTTTCATAGTATTAAATTTCTGAACTACATTCATATATTAATGGTATTAAAATACCAACATAATTAATCAAATCATATTGTAAAAGTGGTCCTATATTTTTAATTAATATAACTTACGCTTTTCGATAAATAGTAGCATTATTTACTTTAACGCCACAGTTATGTAATATATCTGATATAAGATACAATCTCGCAATTTTCTTATTTACAGGAGTTTGTAATATTGATAGTGATTCTGAAATACAATCGCAAATCTCTTCTGCCGCTTCTGCATGTTCTATACAAAATACCATTGCTTCTGCAACTTTTATTCTTTCAGGTGATATGTTTCGCAATAAATCTTCTAATCGATCACGTTGACTATAAATATGAAATGTTGTATCAATCAAATATTAATATTGTTAAATGAAAGAGATAACATAATATGCAATAATATAATAAATTTTTCTTTTACATCATTTTTATGATTACCTGTTCGACAAACTACCTC